CATATATTTGTTTATTTGACTTAGGCACTATTTGATATAAATTAAATAAGTATATTTATTTAAATAAGTGTACTTATTTTGGTCACATTATCTCTATACTTTTCTGCACATCTTTTCGTAATAAATTAAAAAGTATACTTATTTAGATCATTTCAAACAACCTCTTAATGATTGATTAATGCATGAATCAATTTTTTATAAAAGATGCAATTTTTCAAATGTGAAGAAAAAATTTATGGATTGTTTGATTTGATTTTGAAATCAAATTTGAAAGATAAGTTTTGAAAAGCGTTTTCAAAATTTAAAAATTTGTTTAATTGTATATTTTGAAAATAGTTTTTTAATTTTGTAGTTTGAGTTTTGTAATTTTTTTGTAGTTAAATAGATGGTGTGAGAAAAAAAAAAAAAGTGGTTGATTGATGTGTAGGATGTCATAGAAGACGAAGAAAATAGATTAAAAAAAAAATGATTGAAAACAGTTTTGAAAAAATTATAAAGTAAACAAATTTTGAGTTTTTAACACTCAAAAATTGATTTGAAAACTAAACTAAACCAAATGAGCCTATATTTTTAATAAGAAAAATGTTTTAGAAACATTGAGGTGGTTAATTGATGTGTAAGATGAGATAGATAGAGAGAAGAGACAAGAAAAAAAAAGATTGAAAACAGTTTTGCAAAAAATTATAAAGCAAACAAATTTTGAGTTTTGAACTCTCAAAAATTGATTTGAAAACTAAACTAAGCCAAACTAAACTAAACCAAACTAAACAAACCCATATTTTTAATAACAAAAATGTTTTAGATCCACAATTATGTGCTACATGTCAACCATTGATCTGGTATAAACTTAATGACATAAAACCTAACTCCTTTGCCATATCATTATAGGCGAGAGAGTGTGTATCTAAGCCTCTGTTTGGCAAGTTGGTTTTTGGGTTTTTTTGGCTATTTTAGCCACAAAAGACAAAATAGGCTATTTTAGCCATAACAAACAAAACATCACATCCAACCCATAATCATTACATTCTTCTCTCACAAAAAAACTCAAAAAAGCCAAAAAGCCAAAAAGCCAAAAAGCCCTTCCCAAACCAAGCTTTTAAGCCCAGGCTAAAAAAGCCAAAAAAGCCAAAAAGCCAACCCACTTCCCAAACGGAAGCTAAAAGTGTTAGTTTGTAACATTTTTTATTTAATAAATTTGAAGGGATATTTTTGTAATTTACTTAATAAAGAAAGAAAGTAGTGAATAAGGAGAAATTTCACTGCAATGCAAGCTTTAAAAAGGGAAATTTAGCGGAATTTTTTCAATTAGACTCTTATTTGGTGAAAATTTGAAAATGACAATTTAATTTATTTTATTCCATAAACCTCTTAAGGAGGTGATGGATAATTGAGTAAAGATAAAGTAAAATATATTTTTTTTTCTTGAACAATATTGTCAAAGTAACATGTTATTGTGAATCAGAATAACATGTAATTTCAACCAGAGTAACATGTTACTGTTAAATAGAGTAACATGTTACTATTTATATAAATTTCAACAGTAATAATTTTATAAAAAAAAATTCATAATCAACATAAATCTTATTTAATAGATATTAATGAGAGAATTCTAAAAATACTAATTTTATTAAAAATCGAGATCTAAATCAAAAGTTATATTATTTTAAAGTTTAATATTTTGATGATAGTGGTTGTATTAGTCTTTTCAACAAAAACTTTTTGTACTTATCTTAATACATTAAAGTTTTATTATGAGAGGTTTTGACCAAATTCTCCTAAATGACAAACGAATGAAAAAATTTATCAATTTTAATAATTAAAGTTATAAATTTTTTCAAGAATTTGTAAATATTTTACAGTAGGAAAAGACTATATGGTACATATTACTCAAAAAGAAAATAGTATAATTTTATACTTTTTGAGTCATCAAAAAAAAAAAAAGTCATAATTAAACCTCATATGAGGCATAATCAAATGTCTTAACTAAAATAATGTTACAATTAAAAAAGAAAATTGATTATAATTAAAACAGAAAATAACATAACTATAATGTGTATGATACACCCCTTTGAAAAGATGTATAATAGCATTTTCCTTTGTGGTATTACTATTAATTTGTAATTTTTTCAATGACAATAATTTTACGTATTTTGAATTTAAGTTTGTCCGAATTCTTCGAGTTTTGACTTATTGATCATCCGGTAACAAGGTGACAATTACGATTGATAAAAGTGGTAATTGTGATAGATAAGTATTGTACCGGCCATTTAGACAAAATAGTTGATCGATATCCATAAATTCAAATCATTTAAAAAAAATTCAAATTCCAGATATTAAACATTTTTTTTTCGAAATAGTGATAATAATGAAGTGATGTGGGCCCACCTGGGTTGGACTTTGGGGAGGCAGTCGTTGGGGGACTGTTGAGAAGGTTTGCTAAACATTAACAATCAATCATGTATACATACATACAGTACATTAGTGACCATAGTACATACATACGTATACTAGTATACTCATTTAATATAATAATATTTACCGAAAAGACTTTTTAGTCATAAAGTCAGAATAAAGAATTGTCCGAGACTAATTCACATAGAATATTCTAAATAATTATTAGGTTATCTTGAGGTAACATTTCTATCCATTATTATTATGTTATTTTTTATCACTTAATATTAAATCACGTGTTCTATCTCTTCAACCAATCATAATATTTTTAAAATATCACTTAACCAAAATTAGGACCATCAAAGAACTTTTCAAAATATTCAATTATGAAATGTTATGTTAGTTTTCATCAATTATGAATTCTATTGATTCCATTAATCACAATACTTTTGAGATGCCACTTAGCCAAAACTAGGACCATCAAATAACTTTTCAAAATATTGTAAAGAAGACATTAAAATATATATATATATATATATATTATATTCAATTATGATTTTTATATTTTTTAATTTTGATGAATTAAATGAATTAAAAAAAATTATGATGAATTAGACTTACATTTTACACCTATGAAAAGGTCTATGGCGTTGGGCATATCGTTAGTTATTGGAGGATGTCACCAGAATGATATGTCACTATCACAACGACATTGTATTATTGTTGAACTTAATTTTTGTGATAATTTTTTTTAATTTAGTGTAACTTTCTGTAATTAAAAAGTAAAAAAATAAAAAATAAAAATAGGAAGTAATTAGAATGCAAAAGCTGAAAAGCATCACTTTTAACTTTTCAATAATCATGTTTTTTTCCCTAACTTATTTATCTATTTTTTAACTGATAATGTATAAACATAAACACACTAAACAATCAAATACAAATTATCAAAATTAAAAAAAAATTATAATCAACTTATATAAACTGCATAAAATAGAATCATAATATTATAGGTATGCTAAAATGTGATATTTATTGAATTGAAAATAGATGGTTTAAGTTTTTAAGAACAAATATAATAAAATTATGTAGAAAACAACCATTAAATTAATTTAGTCAAGTGAGTTGGGCTTAGATAAGTACTAAAAGAGTATAAAAACATAAAATAAGCTAAATAAATATATGAGACAAAATATCACATATCAATTATAATCATTTTTTTTTTTCAAAAAAAATTAGTAAAAAGTTTTTTTTTTTTTTGTTACAGGAAAATCCTCCCACTCTCCCGCAGGTCCAAGGCAGCGCCCCTTGAGGAGATCACCAGGGTGAGCTTGTCCCGACCTCCCAAAGCAAGCTCCGCTTAAGTCAGGACTCGCACAGCAGGGAAGAATTAAACTCCCAAGGCAAGCTCCGCTTAAGTCAGGACTCGCACAGCAGGGAAGAATTAAACCCACACCAAGTAGCTGATAAGGCATCATTGAGGTCAACCTCCTAACCAATTGTGCTACGCTCAGGAGATTGGCCTAGAGGGGAGTTGAACCCAGGACCTAGGGGCTTAAACCCCAGGCCCTTACCAGGTTGCCACTCACCCCTGGGTTAGTAAAAAGTTCTTCCGAGCTAATTAAGCCATACTAGAATTAACTTAAAAAGTCAAAATAAGATAAAAAGGTTATTCCCAAAGCAGGGGTGGAGGCAGCATGTGACCAGGGAAGTCACGTGCCCCCCTTGGATTTTGGAATTTTTTTTTTTTTTTTTTTTTGCAAACATAAAAAAAAATTTAAATAAAAAATTACAAAAATATTATTAGAGTGAAATGTCAATGACATTTTAAAAATTATGAAAACAATAATGGTTGTATTGATTGAAAATGAAGAGACTATTATAAATAAACTATATTAGCTTTGAAATTTTTTGAATGTAACGACGATATCATTATTAGTGATATGCAAGTATAAGTAATCTCACTATAAAGATATGAAATTTATTAGATTGTTAGTTACATTTGACATGTGAGGTTTACTTTTTATGCATTTATTTACCATTAGTGGGTGATATTACATACCAATGATGACATGGTATTACCATTATATTGAATTTTTAATCAAAATTTGTATCAAAAAAAATTTATCATTATATAATTTATTTTAAGGCTTACATCCATATTTTTTTTGGTATTGTCCATAATACACTAGTTATAAATAATATTTTTTTTTATGCTTCCTGAAATCAATCATAAAAAATTTACGTAAAATATTTTTTATAAAAATTATTATAATTAATAAATGTCCACTCTAAATTAAATTTCTAACTCTGCCACTGTCCCAAAGGAACTTTTAATTTTTATATAGATCATAAATACATAAAAAATAAAGAAATCAAATTAACAAAATAAAACTGAGAATTACCCGACCCAGTCTACAAATTGGACCCAATCCACATTCCCTTCTCTCTCTCTCTCTCTCTCTAAAAAGTGAACCGAAGAAAAAGGCAAAGCAGACACCTTTCACTTTCCTTTCTTTTTCTTTTTCTTCTTCTCTTATGGTTTTTGTTTGTGTAATGTTGAAAAAGATTGTTGTGTCATGTTCTGCTTCAGAAACTACACATACTCTCTCTCTCTCTCTCAAACCCCAAAAACAACGACTCTCTTTCTTTCACAACTCGTTTGTTTCAGACTAAATCAGCCATACATTTCTGGGTTGAACTGTTCTTCCCTAACAATTAAGCTTTTCTTCTCTCATCTTCACACGCACACACACACGTATAAACATAATTTGGGTTTCTGCAATGTCTGATCAGTCAAAAGTTCGATTGGTTCGTTGCCCAAAGTGCGAAAATCTCCTTCCAGAGCTCGCAGATTACTCTGTTTATCAGTGCGGTGGTTGCGGTGCTGTTCTTCGAGGTCAATCTCAACCCCCTCTCTCTCTCTCTCTCTCTCTCTCTCTCTCTCATACTTTCTGTTTGGTTCGCGGCAAAAAGAAAATAGAAATTATCCCAATACACATCATGCTTCATTTCTCGTATTCTATGTTTGACTACATTTTGATTTTGTTTTTGTTTTTGTTTTTGTTATGCTTACTTGCTTATTGGGTACTAAACAGCGAAATCTTAGAGTTTCGATTTTGTAATTTCTTTTTCTGGGTTTTCTCGGTAACCAAACATGGATACCCTGTACACTCTGTTTCTTTAGTAGTTCTCTATTGATTTTATTTTTGGTAAATGTGTTGTGATTTACAGCGAAAAATAAAAATGTTGAGGCGGATACATTGTCAGAAAAGTCTGAAGAAGAAAGGGTTGAAGGTGTTTCTGTGAAATTTTCCGAGAAATCAGACAATTTAAAATTTTCCGAGAAAGGGATGATGGACTTGAGTGATGGGTCTGAGAATGGTGTTAAATCCAGTGGTATTTCTTCTAGAAGAACTCATAAGAGAATGGTTTTGAGTAATGATCTCGAGGTGAATGAGAAAATAGATGAATCTAGTAATGCTGAAATGAGTAAACAATTTGAGGAATCAAAACCCCCAAATGGGATTGCATTTAGGTCACGAAGATCAGAACGGGTTTCTGATTGGAGGAGCGGGGAGGGAGGTGGGAGCGAGGGGTTTTGGAGAAACCCTAGGAGGGATGTTGAAGCCGGTCCTTCGAATTATCATTTTAGGTCTAGTTATGGGTATGGAGAACTTGGTTCATCTTTTTCATCAGCATCACTATCTTGCAACTGTAGATTGAAGAAGATTTCGAATCCAGGAACACACTGCTTCGCAGAATTCATCCAGGGTTCGGGAAAGCCACAAAATGAGAAGTCTTTTGCCTCCCGGACAAAGTAGCCATTCAGCGTTCCCCAGATTGGCCTGTGAACGAGCTCATAGTGCTTTCCAGCCTACTTGGCTCTGGCTCTACCTATCATCTCTTCTCTTTTCCTGATTCAGTCCTCTTTAGTGGGTATATAACCCAAACCAAAGGTATGTGGATTGTGTGGCGCATTGGCCAATGTTGTGACACCTTTCCGGCCACTTCTTCCAAGTCTCATTCCTGGCACATGCTGCAGTTTGTTCATGACATAGATTGATTGGGTGCTAACATACATGCCCTCATCAGCGGCCAAGATGGTCTGCACTACCCGGGCCTCAACCAGCGTAAACCCTGAAAGGAATACATCCTTCTCGCCATGAACAATCTCTAACACCGGTATAGTTACTTCTGGTGGGGGATGGATAAACAAATTCCCGAAGACAATTGCCACTCCTTTCCCATGTGGATATTTCAGTATTTGGTGGAGGGTAGAGGAGACTGCTTTCACCAGATGCAACTAGGGTCTTCCTAGCAATAAGTTGAAGGTGGCCAGGACATCCAGGATATGGAACTCGATATCCTGCTGAGCTGGGCCTACCTGGACTCTGATTTGTACTGTGTCCATAGCCTCCCTGCTTGTATTATCATATGCCCAAATCACTTGGGCTGTGGGCACGAAGTCTGCTGGTTTAAGGCCGATAGCATATGCTGTGCGAGAAGGATAGACATTAATAGCTGAACCAGTGTCAACCAACACCACCGGTACCCATTTTTCTCTGCACTCAACAGATATGTACAGGGGTTTATTGTGAGCTGAGCCTTCTGGCGGCAGTTCTTTGTCAGAAAAGATTAGGGTTGGTTCGGCACCACCTAGGAAGACCAATCCCACAAGCTGTTCAGGGGTAATGTTAATGAACAGTTTGGCTTTGTCCATTGTTGATAATACAGCATGTCGATGCACCTGGGAGGCCAAAAAAAGACCCCAGATTGAGATGTCGGCTTGGATTTTCTTCAGTTGCTTCAACACTGCCTCTTCCTCCAACTGTTTCTCTTTCTGTTTCTCAACCTTTCTATCTTTCCTAGAGGCCTTAGCTTGGTGTAAGTGCGGTGGCTTGAAATACCGCCCACTTCTCGTCATGTGGTCTATCTTTTCTGCTTACCACATGTTGTCTGGAAAGCACTCACTACAGTCCTCGTCAGTGTGAGCCAAAAGTAAATTGTCATCCTCCCACCATACACCTCCGGTAGCCGACAAACAGTTGTCCAGCTCGGTTTGTCACCGCTCGAACACTCGGTGATTACTCATGTTTGTGTTTCGTTTTGAGTTCCCGGAGGTCTCGGCTACGCGCCTTGCCTTAGGATCTCTCAACTCGACTGTTCTGTGTTTGGTTGTGCACCAAACACTTGTGTTTTTGCTTTTGAGGGTAGAAAGTAGCTTGTTAGCTATCCCTGACGCCCACCAGCCTTGGTTTGAGGCCACCGGCCATGTTTTGAGGCTACCGGCCATTGGTGAATTATACCATTGGTCGATCGGCACTCAGTATGGCTAGTGACCTCCTTTTCTGGCCGGTAGCCCCTTTTTACATTTTTCAGGCATGGTGCATGCCAGCTGTGCCAGCTGGAATGCACCAAACCTGCCTCGGGGCATACATGTGGCTGTTTTGCCCTTTTTGCACCCTTTTTGGTCAAAGCTTCTTGAGGAAGCTTGCCCCTTTGTCAAAGCTTCCTCAAGAAGCTTGCCAGCTGTCCTAGCTTCCTCAGGAAGCCTTGCACCCTTAGCTTGGCTTCCCTTGTAAGCCTTGACCCTTTTGAGTAGCTTCCCTTAGAAGCTTTTGCCAATTTCCTTGCCTATATAAGAGCCCCTCCTCCTCCTTTGTTTGGTTCAGCAAAAAAAAAAAAAATTGAGGGATATACATATATACATCTGAGATATACCTTCTCTCTCTATATCTCCCTCTCTCTCATCATTTGTGTGTGTTTTGTGGCCTAAAATTTGTGGCCTAAAAGTGTGTTTTGACCTTAGTTTTGCACACAAACACACACTACTACACCATACTTCGAATTTGAGAGGCTTTGAGGGTTCGTTCTTGAGATTTTGGACTGGTTTTGATCAAAAGAAGAAGGTTGCACTTGCTGTTCATCAAGGGTTCTTCAAGGGTAACTCTTTTACTTTAGATTCCTCAATCTTGCACTAGACGTTTTCCTATCTTGCTCATTGTTTTAGGCTTTGTGTATAACTGAAAAAAGTCTTGTATTTGCATTCTTAAGATACTTCATTAAGGTTGTTTTGGTGTTGGGGGTCGATCTCCCCCTCTTAGGCCTTGTTTGGCCCTTTTGGTGCTCTCTTTGCTAAGCTTTGGTTACCCTTGAGTATTAGCCTTCTCACCACTGAAATCCAGTGGATTTTCAGTGGTAAAGAAGAGGTTTTGAGGTCTTGCATAGGGGAGGGACACCCCTCTCCCTTTATCTCTCTTTTGCCCTCATTTTTGGCTCATAAGGGTAGCATGTATGCTTGGTTGTATTTGGCTCCATTTCAGAAGTTTTTGGATGTTATTTGGTCACTTATTGCCTCTTTTTTTGGTCAGATTTGTGGTCCTTTACATGCATAGTATACTTGCCTTGCATTCCTCCATTTTGCCTAGAAGTAAGCCATGCATTTAGGCCATGATTCTTGCATGCTCTAGCTTAACTCCATGAAGGTCTTAGCATTATTTTGCTATGCTCAAGGACTGTTGGGGGCTGTTTTAGTCATATTTTCCATGTTTAGGGTAGCCTCTTTGCATTTTGGCTTGTGAGCCTTGAGCATGTGGGTCTCTAGCATGCTTAGCCTAGCTTATTCTCATGATTTGGAATCATTAGGGACCATGTTTCAGTCCATAAATCATGCTTGTATGCATACACTCATCATCTTTTTCATGCTTTGGGGGAGTTGTTTTGTTGTGCCTTGAAACGAGCATTGTACATGGCTCTGTGTTTTAGGCTTTGAGTTGCCATAACAGTGGGTTTTGGGACTTATTTTGGTACATTAAAACTCTATTTTTGGTTGCATGATGCATGTCATGAGGGTTTGGGGTAGTTGTAGTAGAATGCTCCTTGTTTTGGGCCTATTAGTATGCATGTTTGCGTGAACATTTATCCATCTTTTTTGGCATTTTTGGTTACTGTTTTGGGAATGGGTTGAGGTCTGCCCTTTGTGTCTTAGGTCCACCATTGCATGATCATGTTGCATTGGTTTCATGTTTGCATTGTATCATACTTGCATGCTTGCATATTATTAGCTAGATGCATTTCATGTCTTAGCTTACATGTTTGATTGCATTGCATTGCATCTTATGCCTAGCATTGTACATTTGCATCTTTACCTCGCATCACATTTGGCATGTTTTGCATCTTAGCCTTATGTCGCATCTTTGAGCCAAGTTTGTATACATACATTGCATTGTTTGGTTTGGGGTGTCAAACCAAACTTGAGGGGTGAGGAGTGTCCGTACTCCAAGTGACGAAACACATCTCAACCCTCGGTAGCCAATGCCCTTGACTTCAATATGATAGGGTGTTGACACTCATCTCTTTTGTTGCATTCATTCACATTGAATTGCAAACTTAGCCTCTTAGGCCATCATGCGTCGAAACGCACAATTGATGGCCCGAGGGTCGAAGGGACCACGCCTCCCTTGAGTTCAATTGCATGATAGGGATTTTTTTTGTGTAGCCATGCACACATTTGTTTGAAAATTCCATGCCATACACTGCTTGCCCTCTACTGCTGTCAGCTGCAGGTTTCAGCAGGAAGAATTGCCGGCCGGCAAGTGTTGTGGCCGACGGCAAAACAATGTTTGCCGAGAGCATAAGATTTGGCCGATAATCCCATTCCCATGGCCGGTGGCATTTTGTTCCGGCCGGTGACATTCCCAACGCTTAAGGAGAGTTCTAGGGACTTCAAGATTTTTAGAGGGCAAGGCAGTGTAAACAGAGGCAATCATGTGCTATTGGCAGTGAGTTTCTTCGTGGCGAGATCGGATAGCACTGCATCATCTCACGCAGTCCCGAGGCGGGGACTGTGGCCACCGTATCTTTTGTATTTAATTTGTTATTAATTAGATAATTCTGGTCAAGTACATTATAATTTTAGTATATTATTCGGTATTGTATATTTATTTCGGACCCTCCGAGTGAGGTCAATTGTGTATAAAGTGTGGCGTGAGTTGTGTATGTCTCCTCACACCCACGTCTTTTCCTTTTCCCTTATTTCTAAGCTTCGATGGTTAGCCTAGGGCATGGTATTCAATTACATATAGTATGATAGCTATGCGTCATCATGACATTTCTATGGCACCGCTCATGCAAACACATCACGGACGCTAATCAAATCTATGTGTATTTATTCAATTCAAAGTTGATACATGGTTATGTAGCATCATCACATGCTCATCTTAGATATAGCCGAGCCTATTGTAGTTGGCATCTTGTATGTGTGTTGCATTAGCCATCTTAACATGAGCTAGGGTCACTACGAGTTGATATACATAACTAGTCTTTTGTTTTGCTCGAAAAGTTACTAGGTAAGCATTTACGTCTTTAGTATATTCCGCATGTCGTGTGAGTAGTTGCCATTAATAGCATGAAGATTACCCATGAAGGCTAGCTGCTTATTGTGATTATCGACTGCTTTGTAAATGCCTGTGATGGAGGTTGAATTAACTAAATTGGGGAATTAACGCATTAAAACACTGTGAGTTTTAAGCCCCACTTAGATTAGTGACAAAATCATCTTTTCCTAAAGCCCACTTTGAGGGTGGCGAAATCTACATTTTTTTTTAGCCTACTTGCGAGTACAAACAATTTTCAAAAAACATAAATTGTTGTTGTTTCCAAATTTATAGGTGATTTAGTCTTAACTTGTTTGTTTTGTTTGTACGGCATAAACATTAGCTAATTCCTAGGCTAATAACTCGGAATAGAAGACACCAATAATACGCTTTCAAAAACGGATCATCACTGGTTAGTAGTAGTGCCGATCTTCAGATCGGGTGAG